TGTGATAATACCGGACACTAACGGCAGTAATTAAGCTGCCGGTTGGGTTAACGTTAATGAACCGGACGGTGGCTGATGGAGGACAGATGGCGCTAACGGGAGACCACACGTGGCTTCTGTTGTGGTCAGTCCGCCCGGTGACACTCATTAAAGCAGCACGCTGGTACCGACACACCGGTCCGTTTAACGCCCTAAAACCTCCTCAAACCAGAACCCGTCCAGTCAGCTGTCCTCCAGCTCCAGAACCGACCGACCGACTGCAGCAGTGTGTCCGTTAATCCGCCTCCTAACGGCCGCGGAGAGGCGACAGAAGCAGCCGGGAACCGAGCACTACTTTACCGTCTCTGAGTCCTCCTTCTTCCGCAGGAACAATGTCGGTCCTTCGGCTCCCGGCGCAGGGACATCAGACTGGGCTCCCGCCTGGTAACGTGTCTTTGTCCTGCTCCGTGGAGAACATCCCGAAATACAGCGGGGCTGCAGGCCGGAGCGGCTCAGGTTTCACTGCGGTTCACCCACCGCACTGACGCCCAGTCCCACATCTGGGAGGGCCGAGCCTCGGTCCCGGGCTGACTCACACTGAGCAGCAATTAACCGGGAGGAGGAGGGGGGGCGGTAAAGTTATTATAATGAGACAGTTTATCAAATGAGTAATTAAATAGATTATAGTGACAGTAAAGGGCTTAAAAGTAGTTAAAGTACAATGAAGTTTTACTGTAATCTGTCTCCAGTTAAAGGAGGAAATACAGAATATAAAGGAAGGAAGGAAGTGTGTGAAAGAAGGAGGGAGGATGGATGGAAACATGGAAAGGAAGATGGATCGGAAGGAGGAAAGAAAGTAATGGAAAGAGATCCAAAAAAAAGATAAGAGAGATGGGATAGAGGGAGATAAATGGTGGGTAGGAAAGAAAGAAAGAAAAGTAAAGTAAAGAAAGTAAAACATGAGAAGGGAGGAGGACAATTTAAAAAGGAAGTAAAGAAAGAAGGATGGAAAAATGTGAGGAATGACTGAAGGAATGAGGAAGGAAAACACTGGAAAGTGATTTAAAGAGAGAGGAGGAAGAGGAAGGAAAGATAATGGGAAGTGAATGAAAGAAGGAGGGAAGGACAATGGAAAGAAAGAAATATATAGGAAGGAGAAAATGATTCAAAGAAGGGAAGAGAAGGAAATAGATTAATGAATATTTGATATAAAGGAGGAAGGGGAAAGAAAGAGAAAGGATGAAAAGAAAGGACGAGGGGAGGACAGAAGAAAAGAGGAAGTATGAAGTGATGGAGAGATCAGAGACTGTTTATGTTGTAATGATGCAGTCGGACATAATAACTGTATTTATATGTTTATTTTTATTATTATCAGTAATCGTCCCTCACTGTCTGCTGGTTCACTGTGGATCGGTAGTGCTGTTTCATAAAGTTTATTTACATTAGTTATTATAATTATTGTTATTGTTGTTGTTGTATTAGTGTTAGTATGAGAGATAGTTGATTATGTTCCTCTTTCCACCACCAGGTGTCAGTCTGGGCTCATCAGTCAGGAAGGAAAGCAGAGTAAAACTTTTAACAGTTATTTTCTTTTTAAATGATTTTATGACTTTATTTTTTCTTAGTGAAGTAAAACTTATTATTATTGATCTAAAGTTCACCAAGACATGAGAGGTATAGCTCAATTAAAAACAGAAATAATACGACAGAATGACTTTAAAAAAGGTCAAATTAAAGCATGTTTTGGGGTAATAAAAGATGAGTTTGAGGTGTTGACGTCTCAGAAAGAAAGAGAAATAAAATATTCCTTTAATGTTTGTCAGTTGATCATTTCTGCAAGTAAAATAAAGTTATAACTTTATTTATTATTTTACTTCCATACATGCAGTTTACAGTTTCTACAGAATCTCCAGCTGCTTTGAGATCTTCAGTGTTAATTTAATAAAATGTTTCTCCATGCAAACAAAATGAATCAATACATCTTTTATTATTATTTCTTAAATTTAAGATAAGATAGACTTTATTGATCCCACACTGTGGATCAATAAAGTTGATTTTACAGCAGCTCCAGATACAACCCAACAGATAAGAAAACGCACATTAAATAAAATAAAAAAATACAAAACATAATGAAAACATAGAATAAGAGTTATATGTATATACACTCATTAGCTCTTATTGGTTCCTGAAGGATCTTGTCATGACTTTCCATTTGAACTCTCTCCATTTATTAGACCCGACCAGGTATTTGTGAGGTACTGACACCAGAGATTACTTTTCTAACCTCCAACTCCAAAATTGTTATTGATATTTTTGAAAAAGGACAAGGTAATGTTCGTCTTTGTCACCTAGCAACAGTGTTCTCATGACCTGTTTGAATGTAAGCGTTAATATAACGCAGTGTCCCAGAGTCATACCTTATAACTTTATAAGTTTATTAAGTTCCTTTAAAGTGCCTTGAAAGCCTCTGCAGATGGACGAGTCGGCGCTGGACCGGTACTTTGATAACTTCATTATAAACGTGAGTAAAAGCTGTTAAAGGGTCGGTTCATTCTGGATCATCCTCAGACCTGCCCACGATTTCTACAGCCTCTAATATTCATATAATCTGTAATATGAGGTCACTGCTTTTAGTCAAAGAGGAAAAAAACACTCACAGGAGGAACGCTAACTCTGTTTTAACAAATGGATCAAACATGGATGCAAAATAAAACAAACATTTAGAAGAAAAATATGAATTTCTACAAGGTCAGAAACTGTTTAGTCGTTCACTTCATCGTCTGTTCAGTCTAAATCCAAATTAGATTGATTACCTGATTTCGGCCACAAAGTACACTGATGGTGCAGTTTCCCGTGTCTGAAGCATTATAATCGTAGTGACTGAAGACAGAAAAACTCATTTGTAGTTTCATTTTCGTAAAAGGTTCAGTAATTTCCTGACTCAACTGTAGTTTTTCTTAAACATTAAGGAGTATTTTCATCCACAGTTGGTGCTCTTTGGATACACAGACAGGTGTTATAAGTAGGATCAATGCATTGTTGGTTTACTTCAGTTCTGATTCACTTTCGCGCTGCAGGACCCCTCAAAGATGGAGAAACAGGAAGTGAACGAAGAGTCGGGAGACGAGCTGTTCTTCAGCTTACTGCCCGATGAGCTCTACGAGGACGATGCAGGTACTGCAGCAACAACAGCAACACTGATCCAAACACTGAACCAACAGCAGAGAACACAACTGTCCTCCTGTTCCCAGACAGCAGTACAGACTACAACTCCCAGAATTCCTCAGCAGGAACAGTTAGTTTGCCCATGACGGAGCTGGACACCTCCCCCGTTCGTCCCACGACCCCCGTGATGCCAGAAATCCTCCCACAGATACAGTAAGGTTAATTTAGTAGCTGTTCTGGAGCTTTAGATCACATCACATGACTCTCCTCAGGTCACTGACTGTACTGCGGCTTCAATATACGCTTTTACCGAATTTGTATCATCATGCCGAATTCCTGTGTTGTTGTAAAAGTCAGCGTCTTTGTGTGCAGGAACGTGACCTCTACAGTGAAGCTGGGCTGCTGTCTGGACCTGAACGTAATTGCTTGCAAAGCGTGGAATGTAGAGTACAACCCAAAGGTACAGAAACCTGAAAACAGGAGATTCTACTTAATGAGGTAATTTCCAACAATTTATAGAACCATTTTCGGGTGAAATAAAAAAAAGCTGGCAAAAGCACCCCCATTGAGACACATCACTTCAGATGTGGCCTCGACTGTCAGCGCCCGCCACCAGAAACAGAAAAAATGGAGTCAAGCAGATCTCGAGCTCTAGATGAGTAAACTCTGGCTTCATTTCAAAGAGGTGGTTAACTGAGTTTACCTCCACTACACCCCTGCTCCATAGCTCACAGTCCAACAGCTAACTAGCTAGCTAACCTAGTTACCAACATAGTAAACGGCACCAAAACAAGAAGGAGGCGGTAAAGTATATAAGTATGGCTGTCTGGACCAAGGACGACATTGTACTGTAGGAGGAGGAACAACCAACCAGTGTGTTTGACACGCAGGACACAGTATTGAGATTTGGTAGTCATGTATCTCTACAGAACCAGCCTTAAGACTTTTGGTCTCACTTGCCGTTCTTCGAACTACACTGGAGAAATATATGCGTTTTTAGAGAACAATTGAAATAGTGTGTCAACTTTAAATCTATGTCTTGTAGTCCAAGTTGAGGCAAACTGATATCTGGAAAACAACCTTTAAAGCAGCTTGTTGTTCCTAAGTCTTCCTGTTGTGTTTCAGACTTACAAGGCGCTCATCATGAGGATCCGTGAGCCGAGAACCACAGCACTGATCTACAAATCTGGGAATATTGTCTGTACAGGAGCCAAAAGGTCTGTCTGAACTCATCTCCAGTAACTGTGGACTATTGTCAGGACAGTGTATGAACCCTTCCTCCTCTCCTCTGTGTAGTGTGGAGGGGTCACAGCTGGCGGCCAGAAAGTACGCCCGCATAGTGCAGAAGTTGGGCTTCCCTGCCCGCTTTCTGAACTTCAAGATCCATAACCTGGTTGCCAGTTGCAACAGCTTCCCAGTCAGTTTAGAGCGACTTGCCCACCATCACGACTGCAGGTCAGGAGACACTGGCTGTGGTTAGCCACAATCTCCCATCTGAATGCATTTTGTCCTATTGAAGATTCCCATAAAAGTACACTTCTTGTAAAGTATTTTTTAAAGTTTAGTTGAGCACAAAGATGGTGGATCTACCGCTCTACCTCTGAGCCACAGCCACCCCAAATGTATGAGCTTGCGCTGCTGACAGGATGTAGTGTTTATGTGCTGCTGATGTCTTTTTAATGGATCATTAGTGAAGTTTCAATTTAAACAACATTTGATTGCAAATTCTAAGTCAGGATTTCTGTGTTTTTCATTCTCCCCAGTTATGAACCCGAGCTGTTTCCTGGCCTCCACTACAAGGGGGTGCCTGGTATCACTGTGTCCATCTTTTCATCTGGGAAAATGTCTTTGAGTGGTAACTGAGCTCTGTTTTTGTCCACACACCCATGGTTCTAGGAGCTGTGTAGGTATTACTTATTGAAACTAAGAACATTTTATGGGTCCTCTATAGGTCGCCTTACATGCAGGCTGCCATGTTGAACCACCATCTGGGATGTCATACGAGTAGCCCAGTAAGTGGAAAATCCAAACACTGGCCTCTAATCTGAGGGCCATTTGCATTTTTGCTTGTTTGTGGTCACCGTAGTTTCTCCCTCACCCTTGGAAGGGGGGGGTGAATCGAGGGAGTTGCAATCTGCAACTACACCGCCACTAAATTCAACACACCGGACCTTCAAGTAGTTATAGGGTTCCTTAAAGAGGTTCTTGTGGGGAGTTAGAGAGGTGGTAGGGGTCCTTTAGCTAGTTCTAGTGTACCTTTGGAGTGTTCTAATGGTCACTCAGGATTGTCCCCTTGGTAGTTATGATGTTTCCCTGAAAGGTTCTAGGTAGTATTTGTAGAAACTGAGGGTATTATATGCGTCCTTTAGGTAAATCTAGTAGTTCACTGCAGGAATTCTGGAAGTCCCTCACATAGTGTTAGTGTTCATTAAGGAGGGTTTAGTGGTTGCTTCATTTGGGTATGCTTATTATTTGGCTCTAGAGGTCCTTTAAGTCACTCCTGGACAGAGCTAGAAAGTTCCAGAAGTCCTTTAGGTAGTTCTAGTGTCCGATTGGATGGTTCCTATGTTCAGTGAGGATACTAAAGTAGTACTAGGTAGTTCTAGTGTTCCAATGAAAGGTTCAGGGAGCCCTGTAGGTATTACTTGTAGAAATTATTTTTGTTCCTTAAGGAGGTTCAATCAGCAAAGTAGAGGTCATAGGGGTCCAGTAGGTATTTCTAGTATACCTCTGGGGGGTTCTAGGTGGTATTTGAAACTAAGGTAATTATTTGCGTCCTTTACATAGTCCTAGAGTCCCCTAGACAGTCAAGAGATCACTGAGGAGGTTCTGATCATTTTATATGTGTCTGCTTATTATGTGGATCTAGAGGTCCTGCAAGTCGTTCTTGGAGAGATTGTCAAAGTTCTAGGAGTCATTTAGGTAGTTCTAGTGTTTCTTTAAGAAGTTCTTGAGGTTATTGAGGAGGACATCCTTTAAGTAGTTATAAATGTTTTGGAGATCCTTAGATAGAAGTGGTGGCTTTTGTGAAAGTTCTGGTGTTCACCAAGGATTCTTAGCTCTTGTACTTTTTGTGGCCATCAAAGAGGTACTAGAGGCCCCATAAGTCTTCTCTTTTTTAGGCTGTTCTAGGTGGTTGTAGTGTTCCTTTAGGATGTTTCAGTGGTCACTGAAGCAGTTGAATGGGTATTTAGTTTTAAGGGTTATTAAACATGGTCTTGCGGTACTTTCTGATGGTTGCAAGAGGTTATAAAGGTCTGTTAGGAGGTTCTTAGACTCCTTAAGTCCTCAGGTACTTTGTGTGGTCCCTGAGGAGGGTCAAGAGGTCCCTTATAGCTCCAGTGTTCCGTTAGGAGATTCTATGATCATGAACATGATTCTGTCTCCTATGTTCTTCCCTGACTTTACCAACTTGTTCTTACATCTCTTAATTGCTAGAATATTTGTTAACTTCATTGTGAGTATAAATAAAGCTCTAATGTTGAAGTCTTGTGTTAAATTCCAGGAGCTAAAACAGAAGCTGACATCTACAAAGTATTAGAAACCTTCTTTCCAATTGTGAGCTGCTTCAGGAGGAAGTGAAGAGAGACCGAGCTGTGACAGGAGCTCCTGTTCATCTTAACGCTAAAAAAATAAAACTTTTTTTTTTGTTATAGAGTCAGTGTTGAATTGTGGGTCAACATCCTTAAAGGACATAAAATCACTGAGCAGAACAAATTTGATAGTCTTATCTTGACTGGTTCAGTTCTCTTGGATATTTCTGGATCATAACTTTAATATTACTGGAATGTTACTCCAATTTGAATATTGATGACACAGACTTAAATTTAAACTTCAGTATCTATGACTTAAATTTGAGTAAATCAGACTTGGTTATTGATAACTCACTCACCTTTGAGTAAAGATCCCTTGGAATATCATTATTTGGTTTGTAAATTTAGCTGACTCGACTTGAGTAGCAGAAGCTCAGATGTTGAATATCAATACTGATGGATGAATACCAAGAGGATGTTGTGTTCACTAACTCCATTGTCTGGGGAAGACTGGAAGATGCTGCTGAAAGCTCCAGACAAAACAAGTAAGTGGTCCTCGAGTAAATGTGGTAACTCTTTACTACAGTACAGTACAGTACATTTATACAAGTATATAATACACTGTAAGTTTATTAATGTATTTAACAACTGAGGAGTTTCTTGGGGCTAAGGGTTCTGATGCTTATTATTTGGTGATCGATCGAGAGGGTTCCAGCAGTCTTTTAGGTTGTTTTAGTGTTTGGTTGTAGGATTATCTTGGGGTCCTTAGTCCTTGTAGTTGTAAGCAGATAGAACAATATATAAGTAATATCTGCATATGATCATTATAGGTAACCTGAAGCTATATAAGTTTATCTTTTTAATCTTGGCCCATGAGGGGGCAGCATAGAGAGTGTAATGTGCATAAACAAGACTAATCTTATCATGATCTGATTATGTTACAATGAAACAACTGCCCTCCTTGTAATGTAATGTATTATTTTTTTATTTATACAGTTTAAAGTTACAGTGCGTGTTCATGGACATTTCTGTAAATGTGCCAGTTTGGCCACCGTGGCTAATTAACCCGGGCCTGAAAACTCAGTCCTGGTTAATTTGGTGGCCCCTGCAGTTACTGGTGGTAAGAGCAGTTTAATACTACAGGTTACAGAATATACGCAGTAATAGGTTGGGGGCCAGCAGGAACAAAACTATTCAAGGTTTTAAAAAAAGTTTATTTCAATACTGGACCTAAGATCTGAATATAGATTTATGGGAAGACGACTTTTTTAGTTTTTTCTCAATTTTTTCTTTTTTACAGTATAATTAGTCACCATCCTGCCACCTTCAGGAAGTTTCTTGATGACTCAGCAATATGACAAATTTCGGTTGGTATTGAAAAGAGGTTTGATTGGGGTTAGATAATATAGAACTTGGTTGGGTGGACAACTGTTGGTCACTTGGAGGTGGGGCAGACCACTTGGCAGGAGCTGGACATGGATCTGGAGGGGAGGAGAAAGAGACCTGGTGCACTCCCTCCTGTTTCATCCAGGGGGCGTCCCCATGGACACTGGTTGGGTGGGGAGGGGACGTTAAGCTACCTTGGGAGGTGCTACTTAAATATAAACAAGGTTGCCATCGTTGGACTGGCCAGAACTACCAAGGCGGGTTCTTACAAGGGAAGGGGCCGCAAAGCTGACTTTAAGGAGGCTTGCATAGGCTTGTTAACATCTGTCTTCCGGACGCATGCCTGAGGATGCTTCTATCAGTTTGCTTTGGGTGGCGCCAGTGCATCTTCTCCTGTCACTAACAGATCTAAAATAAACTGAATCAGGAGAGGCCCGGTGATGTCTGGGGTTGGGGAGGACTGGCACATCTGATGACCGCTTTGCAGGGAGAGGAGGATGCTGTGCAGGCTTCGAGTTCTATCTTGTTGACAATGTCTCTCACCTTCTCTACAGACACACTGTACCCGAGCAGCAAGAGCACCTTCATGGCAGAAAGACTCCTCTCACCCAGCATGCCTAACCTGTGTGCGCAACGGAATTCATTTCGCTTGGCCTGTGTTGTTCATTAAACTCTATAAACGCCTCCCTCAGAGAGGTCAGATATAAATGACTAATGTAATGATAATCTGGACCTCAAACATGGGACACCATTTTCTGCCTCTTTTTGCACATTTGAAAGTGTGATTATTTAAACTTCGATTATAACCTTG